TATGTATGTATGTATATGGCGTCTCTTTTTCCTTTTGATGAAGTTTACCTTAAAATTCATTTGCCTGGTAAGATTGACACCCTTGCTTCTATGTTCTTCCATATGTATTTTCTTCGTACATATTTTTCTAAATTTTTATTTTTGTACACTGAATATGTTCAAGGATATTTCTGACACAGTGAGAAAGATGTAAAAAATCAATGCAATATACTCAAAAAGCCCCCACCCAGCTTGGGCAGTAAGACCTCAACTCCCTGTGTGTTTCTCCCTGGGCTGTGACTTCCTCAGGCTCTGAAAGTCACCTGAATTTTATTCTACCTTTTACTGACTCCTGCTCACATTTCTTATATAGTCGTATATCCCTGAACAGTTAATAATTCAGGCTTTTACGCTTTTGCTATCATGTGTATCTTTGCTATTTCTATATTGTTCAAAATCATTTTAATGAGTCATTTTCATGGACAATAGTACTTCATTAATTTTCACCTCTGGCTCTTTTTCCACAAACACAACATGATTCGTGTATACTACATACCTAGCATATATTTGGCTTGTACGAACTAAGAAGATTATCACTGCTACTCTTTCGCACTGTTCTCTATGTATCTGTTCATGGTCACCTCCCCTTGCAGTGGTGAAGGAGGTGCCCTTCTTTTTATCATTCACCGTGAGCCCCAAGGGTGGTGTGTGCTCACTGCACACCTGGTCCTCTCCACTCCAATCAGGCCATTCTACACGGGAGTCCTGGCCTTCACTCGTTCTATGATAGTTCCACACTGGTCGATTCTCAAAACTCTACACAGCCATCTTTGCATTTTCTCTGCTGGCCTCCTTGATTAAAATGAACAAACAGCAGATATGTCTTCTCCAGATTTCAGTCCAAAGAGCTCTGCCATTGTGACCAGAGAAGTAAAAGAGACAGCTCAGAGACAGGCATCAGTCAAGCTTCCTGGGCTTCTCTGAAGCACAGGCCTCTGTAGAAGGGGACCTGACAGTTTACTGGTTGTCACCTGAGGGGCTGTACTGTGGTCTTCCAAGAGGAATGAAGTTTTGGAGCAGAAGAGAACCTCAGAATTTCCATGAAAAACAGATGGGGAAGAAGGAGTTAGAGACATCATGACCGGCTGGGGAAACAGGCCCAGTCTCTGTTGGTCCAGCCACTCCCCCAGGGAGGAGTTGGCTCCGGTGGCTTCATCGTAGTGGAGCACGAGGGCATGGCAGGCATCAGAGCCCAGGTCCTCCAGGCACCCCGACACCCGGCCCGCTGGCCTCGTGGCACCAAGAAAGGGTCAGAGTTTGACCCTGGGAGAGTTTTTCTGGACTCACAGTGATGGTTCGTTTCCGGGGCTGGACCACAAATGTGTGTGTGTGTGTATGTGTGTGTGTGTGTGTGCACATCTGTTTGTGTCTGCGCACACACACATATGGCATACATTTGTGTTTTTAGGCTACTTTAGAGAAAATTTTCAGCCATAAATCACTGTGACCATCTACTGAAGTCCACAGACCCTTCTCAGAACATCAGTTTTAAAATACACAGAAGACAGGGGCTACATACAGCTCAGCAGGAGAGGCCTTGCCTAAAGTGTGCAAGTTCTGAGTTCAGTCTCCAGCATCACAAAAGCAAGTACACTAATTAATCTAAAAGAAATAAATACAATATGTAGAATATAATAAAAAACGCAGGAGTAAAATGAAAATGACATTAAGACCCAGTTATTAATATGAAAAAATTCTTTAGTAAAGCCTTAGATATCATGATACTGCATCGATTCTAAACCCGGCCATTATTTCAAAGTAAGAATGAGTATGAATGATGTTTTGAGATATCCACAATGACTGGACTTGATAAAACAAACCACCTATAAGTTCTAGTTATAACAAAATGACAAAAGCCGCTAATCATACTGTGATTTATTGCTTCTATCCAAAATTGAAGGACAGGCTAAAGCTCAGTTAGAGACTAATAAAAACAAAGATGTTTTCTCTCCATCTGAATTCTTGGACCCACTGGATTCTACCCTAAGATGCATAGGGATTAGTCAACTTTTAGATAAAGATTCTGGGATTAGAGATAATCCACCTGCACTCAAATGAAAATATATAGTATCTGTAGGGTCCCAGCCTTCCCTATCAATCCAGACCAAGAAGACCCAGATGCTCAGAGTTTGGCTCACAGAGGCAGGCTGTTGCCTGCTTTGATGTTCTGGCCATTTTGCCAGAGAACAAGACCAGGCTCTGAATATGCATGACCTTGGTTAGTACTTGTCACCACTCCAGAAGCATTGCAGAAGGCCTGGTGGCACAGGTAGGCTGCTCCATGCCCTCCAGCTGCAGGGCCAGGAGCCACACCAGCAGAGAGGGGGCACCAATCCCTGCCAGCACCTGGATCTGTGTTTTCTGCCTTCTTTGAGTCCCTCAGAGGACCACCAGACTTCTGTGGGGATGAGAAAAGGTGTGGAGAGGGAACGTGTGTGGAAACTCCATGGTGGCCCTGAGCAGAGTTTGGGTGGCCCCGGGGACGGCTGACCACTCTGGTGGTGATGGAGGATGCCAGGAAGGGACTGAAGCACAGGGGCCAGCGGGCTGCTGCACTAAGGCTACAGAGAAGATGAGGCGCAGGGTCAGTGATGCTGGTGAGGAGTGAGCAGGTTCTGGATCAGGTTTGAAAGTTGAGCTGAGGGTGTTTGCTGATGGCACAAATGTGGGGCAAAGAGAAAAATAAAAAGGGAAGAGGATGCTTGGGGGTTGGATCTGAGCAACTGGAAGGAAGGAGTTTCCATCTGCATAGTAGGGAAAGCGGTGGGTGGCCTTTCAGTCTGCTTGGCTGGCATTTGGATGAATGAGGGACTCCTTGGACTAAGGCACTAGAAGGTTGAGAGGATAAAAGATCATTCACCTAAGTGATTATAAAACAGAGTTGCTGTTCACTGTGGTGAGAATCCAGCAGGAGGAATCTGGCTTAGAGCACTTTACATTTGAGATAAAGTCAGATATTTATAGAATGTCCAATAGGAAGTTGGACATGTGAGTGTGGAGTTTGCGTTTAAAATCCTGAGACTGTATAAGAAATAACAGAGGAAAGTAGGGGGAGAAGAAAAACAATCTAAGGAATAAGATCTGGGGTAAAGGTAGCAGAGACAAGAGACGAAATAGAGCAGCAGAGTCAGCTAGACAGGAGGAGGATCCAGAGAGGGGCCCTGTCGCCAGACGGAGAAGGCACTGCAGGAGGACCTGGTGGGGGGTGGGGCGCAGACGGCTTGGAGGAGGCAGGGAGCTGCCGCCCATGGGGCGACACAGAGCCTCGGTGGCCTTGCCCAGAGCTGAGCGGGTGAAGAGCTGAGGTCAAAAGCCCAGCGGGCGAGTGTCCACGGGAGAGCAGAGGAGGAAATTCTTCCCAGTGCTGTAGAATAGAAAATAAAGACTTTAAAGAGGAGCAAACAAGGGGTGTGATAACTGACAAGAGGAGGTTTTTATAAACCCGTGTTAGAGTGGGCTGGTTCGTGTGCTTTGGGCTGACAGTGGAAAGGAGAAGTGGGAGGAGCGGAGGGATGTTTTACCTGAGTCCCTTGGGTGCAGGGCCAGAGGAAAGGGTGGGAACCAGAGGGCGGTCCTCCCAGTGGAAGAAAGCAGGAGGAGGAGAGTGCAGGCCCTGAGGGAGCAGGGACGACGGGAGAGATCTGACCTACCGCCCAGGAAGGGGAGAGCAGCAGGATGGGGGTGCATTGCACCAGAGGCCAGGCCCCCCAAGCTGTCCACATTTCCAGGGAGCAGGAACTCTAATCCCTCCCTTTTAAGATGCCAGTCTGCGCCTGTTCTGGAGGAGCAGCAAAGAGCAACAAGTGGATGTGAGGTGAGGAGCTGCCGGGAACCTGGCGCTCACTGGCTGGCGAGAGGCTGCAGCGTGGTGGGTGAAGCGTGCGCAGCTGGCAGTGGGATGGCTGCATTGCTTAGGACCTTCTACGAGGCCCTCAGCAGACCTGATCTGGTCATCTGTGAAATGGGAGCAAACGGCTTGCCTTGTGGAGCTGCTGTGGGGATGAAGGAAGTCGTGGTGGGAAGCCCTTGGCACAGCAAGCTCAGAGCACAGGATATGGCCTCCACTGGCCATGGCCAGGGCCTCTCCGTCCCTCTCAGAGTGGCTTTCCAGGCCAGCTGTGGTCTGGCCCTCCCGGATCTGCACCTTCTGCTTGTACTTCTCCTCCTGCAACTTCAAGGTTAGCTGTTGACTCTTGTATTTAAAGGAGGTGGGAAGGGGTGGAGGCTGCTCATGGCCTCTGCAGACCCATCTGCCTCTCTCCTTCACTAACTGAACCCGGCTTTGTGGGGGAAGAGGAAATGTACCCGGGAAGACATCTCCTTTCAGAGAGGGGCTGATGTGTCCTCAGTCCTGCACAGTAACATGTAGTCAAGAATTATAGGGCGGGGCTTCCAGAAGAATCCTAAGGAGGCCACTTAGCCTGAGCTTCCAGTGTCTTTTTCATTAATATTGTTGACCTCCCTGGGTCTCTTTCTCTTCCCTAAGACAAAGAGATGTCTTCCCCACCAGCACCGGAGCTATGAGGAAAAGTCAGCTCTCACGCTGCCGCTTCTCCCGGGGTGTGGGCCGGGAGTTCGTCCCAGCTGTCTCCAGGCACACCTGCCCCCACAGCGAGATCATGTACCCGCTTCTAGACCCCTCTGCCCACACTGAAGACCCCAGAACTTTAACTATTAGGCCCTATCCCCATTTCCAGGGCTATGTTTTCTTCTTCCCTGCACGGACATGTCTTTATTGTTTGTACGTAAGTTCTGGGGTGAACTCTAGAAAGCCTCTCTGACAGGAACTGCTGAACAGGGGCCCAAGTAAAGTGACGGCACAGGTCCCTGTGACTCACACAGGACCCTAGGCCTAAGGCCTCCAATGAGAGAGGCTGGCAACACAGTGTGGGGTGACACTGGCCTTAAAGAACTGGCATTGGCCTTCTCAGCCCAGAACCGACCCTCCTGACTACTCTGCCAGCTGATCCTTTCCACCAGACCTACTTCCCTGGTGTGGAACTCCAGATCTCTCCCTCTGTCAAACCTTCTGGAAGCTGTTCCCACCCTTCCTGGAATGGTAGTGCCACCAGCCTGGGAAAGATGGTCAGCGGGCTGTTCTGCCTCATCTGTCCTAGGTACCCTTCCTTCTTACCCAGAGCACCGTCTCCTTTCATCTTGGACTAATTTATCCCAGGCCCTCACTGAATCTGCCCCAAACCAGTCTGGGGTGAGTTTAATATGGTTCCGGCTCTGGAGAAAGAGGGGTGACTGAGGTGACCTCCGGAGGGATCCATAAGCCACTGGATTCGTGCTGTCTCCAAGTCCCATGTCCACCCACCAGGTCAGGGTCTGCACGTCAATATCTTGGGGTCCTTTGTGGGCAGCAGAGAGAGAAGGTTGGGAATGCATTGAGTGTAGTGGGGACACTGCAAGCTCGGTCTTCTTACTGCTGGAGAAGACAGCAGGTGTTTATTAAAGTGGGCTTGTGGGCATTTAAATCCATTATGCAGTGCTGACAAAACATAAGTGGCCTTAAGAGCAGGAGCAAGCTAGCCACGTGGTTACCCTTGGAAAAAGACTCCCACCGGCTCGGAGCAAAGTCACTACACCCTAAGAAGGTGGAAGACTTCTCTCTGAGGGCTCTGGGGGTGAGGGAGGGCCAGCTGTAAGCGGTGCATCCCCACAGGGTGGGAGTGAAATGATAATCACCTCTCCCCTGAGAGACCAAGATTCAAGGGCGGGGTGGGGAGAGGGGCACCTGCAGCACTGGAGGCACATAAATTTTTGTCTCCACTATAGTCTTGGAAGTCTGGAAGGTTGGAAAATCTTTGGTAAGATTTCCATAGAGAAGCCAACTTGAAAGACAGCCAGAGTTTTCCCTTCTTGGATCTCACGTAGATTCTGCAATGGAGGGAAAGAACTCGGCAGATTCCTGCTACTTTATTTATGCAGGCTGCCTGGAGTGACTATGGAAAGGGAGGGGAGAGGAGTGGCTCCTGGAGTAGCTTCTGTGCTTCGTGAGGTGGGACAGGGGGCAAGCGGGAATGCATGGCCTCCGGGATTAGACACCTAGGAACTGGAATGTTCTCACGCAGACTTCTTCAAACCATTTTGCACTTGGTGCTGGGTGGGTACCTATTGCCTGCAGTCCCAGGTCCTTGGCTGTGACAGCAGTTTCCTCCTTCACTTAACATTCAAGGTCCAGGAAGAACCACAGAGCCTCAGGGAGGAGTTGGTGTAGACTCCAGCTGACACAGAGAAACTGGGGGGTCGAGAGCTATTTACAATCTAGGACAAAATCATTCTGGTAGTTTAGTCTCCTGGATGGCCCGGCTGGTGTACTGTCAGAAAAATGTCAGCTCTGACTCTAGGATGCAGCACTGGGGAACGAGGTCTTTGGGGAGTGGGGCGGGGAGGCCGGAGAGCCAGGCATTGCTGCTTTCTGATGGAGCCTCGCCACTGAGCCACTTCCCAAAGCGCCCTGCCCAGGGCGACAACCTGCACAAAGAAGCAGCTCTGACTGGCTACTCCGGGTGGTTGAACTGCGAGTCAGCTGCTGTGCCCTTCTCCCCAGACTGGGTGCTCTCATCAGAAGCCAGTCTGTGCCCCAGCACGGCTCAGGGTCTGCTGAGACCAGAGTGAGGGCTGGGATGGGGCAGGGAACCGGACTGAGTCTGTGAAGTCCAGGATGAAGGAAAGAGCCCACTATGGGGTCTGGCTCAGCGGTGAGCAGCCTGGATGGAAACCAAGGGTCAGGGCAAAGCTGCGGGTGCCAATCAGAAGAGACCATTGAGGCCTGGGCTCCGGAGAGCAGAGGGCAGAAGCTCGTGGGTTTGGCTGCAGAGGAGACTTACACAGCCAAAGTGTGGAGAGTGGCAGAGAAGCAGGGGACTGGCCTCTGGGAAGCAGGCTGCCCTGGGGACACACAGAGGTTTCCCTTGTGCATTTTGAAGGCGTCCTCTGACTGCCGCTGGAGGAGTTGGAGGGATGTCTTAGAACTCAAGTTTTCACCCATAAAATAAAGCTAATGTTGCAAAACAGGTCTCCACGAGTGGTTGCAACAGGAACATCCACCCCTCTCTCTGCCCCTCCCAAGCCGAGCCAACAGATCTAATGTGCAGTCATGCACCGCTTAACAGAGGGCTGAGCACTGAGAAACGCAGGGGAAGGTGATCTCTCTGTTGTGTGAACTGCACAGTGAACTCCTGCATGCCTAGGTCCAGCCTGCTCCACAACTAGGCCACCTGCGATGCTCAGTCTCTTGATCCGAGGCCACAGTACATTATCTGCACAGTGCGTTACCCACTAAATACTGTAGATGGCTGCAGCACAAGGGCACTTTCCAAACACAGAAAAGGCACACTAAGAGTTCTAAGTGATAGGAGTTCTGAGCTGCATTATAACCCACGAGACCACACAGCACATGTGGACGGCCACTGACCAAACAGTCCTAGTGCAGTGCATGCCTGTCATCCCCTCTCCAGATGAGGGAGCAGCTGGGGAGGGGTTTCTGAGGGGAGATGGCAGAACGCTAAGCCTGCACCAAGCGTGTGTAACTCAGGACCCTCCTTTCCAGTCTTAGGACAGACAAAGAAGGGCCAGGGAATGAGGGGGCACTCAGGCTCGCCGAAGAATCCATGTACACAAAGCAAAGGGCCAGGCACAGACTGTTCAGAGCAAAAGGCGCAGGTGAGGAGAGGCGGGCCAAGGCTGGGCACCGCCCTGAGGCTGAGCAGGGGCAGCCACAGCCAGCCTGAGCCATGCCCCTCAGGCTCAGTGGGGAGCATGTCCCCCAGGCACTCAAAGAGCATTATCTCTGTGTCTTAGGGAACTATGTGAATGGAGAATCCCAGGCCAACTCCCTGGTGAACTCTACTCATGGCCTTCAGTCCCACTGCCCCAGACTGACTCTCTTGCTTAGTATAATAGTAACTTCAAAGCTCTCTAGGAAGAAGCCTTTGTTTTAAAACAGTGTGATTCAATGCCCTCTAGTCCAGCTCCCACTCCCCCCATTTCCCACCAAGGGGCAGGGAAATCTCTACATATCTTTCCAAATATCCAGTCTCATGTGTGGGTGCCCCTCAGAGTGCGCGAGCCTCCATCTTTTTCCTCCTGGGAGGGAATCTGATGGAAGCCCCTCTGCCAGGAAGCCAGAACACTTCGTTTCTGTTGCCAGCCCTCCAGTACATCTTCGGTGTTTTCTTACGCAGTGATCTTGGTGTATAATTGCATCCATGTGGCATCCCTAACAAGCAGTGGTAGCCCAGAGTCACCATCTTGGATTCTAGATATGCCAGGATGCTAGGAGGACTCTTCCGGAGATCAAGAGAGAAGCCAGCTTTCTGCTGGGGGGATTTACGTCTTGATGATGAAGGATTTCAGTCCAGAAGTCTACTCGCTCCCACAATAAACTTTCTTTTTTTTAGTTGATATGAAGAAGGAGCCACTCAAGGAAACCACAAAACCATGAAAAATTAGTTTACATTAATGCATTTTCTGAAAATCATGGCCTAGTGACTGAAATTTATACTTGGCTATCACTTGATACATTTTTAATGGAGTCAGTGCAATGTTTTTTTTAAAACCATGGCATATTTATTTGATGTCAAAGCAAGGCCTTTTGATTTTTTTAAAGCCAAGGCATGTTAACAGACATGGGGGCAGAGGGGCAATTACTCAGTGGGTCTTGGATTGCAGCACTGCCTTTGAAGTCTTCCTCCATCCTGTACTTGTCAGGAAACCTGGTCTCACGTGGAGTCCAGCAAATGCAGCGACCAGGAAGTGCTCCACTGCCCAGCAGACGCAATGGCCCTGCGTGACTGAGGGTTTACTGGTGGCCACAACAGTCTACTCCTGACCCTCATACGAGACGTGAACTCCAGTCATCAGTGACGCTCCTCGTCTTCATATGGATGTGGTAATCACAGTACCCATCCTGACACCAGTCGGGGGCTCTTGGACCTTCCAGGGACAAGGCCACAGAGGGGGCAGAGGAGGCACCCATCCTCCAGACGGGAAACGTGTGGGCGCTGCCTCAGTAGGAGAGAGGGCCTAGGGCCCCGCCTGACTCCAGGAACGAATACATCCTCTACCGGCCCCGTGGGATCTACTGCCCCCGCCCCCCAGAAGGCTTTGGGATGTGCCTTCTCTCCTCTCCAGCAAGTGCTGGGAACCAGCTCCACAGTGACCCAGGCTGCAGTCTGACATCCAGCTCTGCCCTGCATTCAGCTGGAGCTCGCAGCAGAGGCAGAGCTTCTGGCAGCCTCAGGCTCTTGCCTGTGTGTGTGTAGAGTTCGAACTCCTAGCCCCAGCACATGGGCCTTCTCTGCTTGGCCAGATAGAGGCTCACACATAGACATCTCTGTCTTGTGAGTTGGACAGACCCTGCCCTGGATGGCCTGCAGGGAACTAGCCCTTGGATTCACCTTGGTCTAGAGGCTGTGTGGGGGGAAGGAATGGGGCCAATGGTCTCTGCACTCTGAGCCCCAGCCTAACCCCAGGCCAGTCTTTATCAAGTGGGTCAGTTGCAGATGGGCTGCCCTGGCTGGCACAGAAGGGGTCTAGGCTGGCAAATCTGGCTCAACACAAAACCTGGGGAGTCCTGGGGAGGGCTGAGTGTGGTGAGGTTGGGAGCCCTGTGAGATCTGACCCTCCAGGCACAATGGGATGACACTGAGGAACCCAGGTGGGGATCAGCTGAGGCCCTGAGGAGGACTGGGCAGTGGCTCTCACAGCTCCCTGCACGGCATTTGCCAAGCAGGACCTAGAGCTCACTAGCATCTCTCTGGGGTCTCTAAAGGCCTCCCTTTGGGTGAAGTGCACGAGTCTTGGGGAAATGGACATGTCTAATGCTGCAGGCCCCTTGATGAGCTCCATGGAAAACTAGAAAACGACCAAAATCTCTTTTGAGTAAAGCCAGAGTAATAAGAGAAAAAAGGATTTGCCATCTGAGGGGGTGGCTGTACTGGGAAAATGGGAGTAAAAACCCTTCCTGGATACTTGTGGAGATTGAACAGTGATGGTTGAGTAACTGTCAGCCTGAAAGTGGGTCCCAGGAGTCCTCCGGGCAGTGCCTGCCACCAACACTGCTCAGCGAGCCTCTGAGCTCATGGGAGGGGGTCATCTGGGAGTGTCTGTCCAAGGGAAGCCACACATCCCCAACAGAGGGCTGGGCCCTGTGTTCCAGAGTACAGCCCCTCAGCCATGAGAAGTGGGTGTTTCCTTAACCTCCGCGGGATTCGCTCAGTGACCAGGAGAACAAGGCCAGTGATGACAAATACATCACCGAAAGCCTGTGAGTTCAGCTCCAATGTCCCTTCCCAGGCCGCCCAGGACTGCAGCCTTTATAAAGAGCACAGGAGAACTCTCACCATGGAAGGGAAAACTCATTAACTCAGTCACATCTTAAAGGTTACATAGGGAAATAAGCTTCATAGAGGTTTCCCCAAATTGACCATAATCTTAAGCCTCATATGAAATTATTGAGCTGAAAGAAACTTCTCTACATGTGTATTTTCAGTCAGAAACAGAAAGCCACAGTGAGCCCACTTACAATCACCTTCTCTTCCCCTTATTGAAAACTCTTGCAAAAAGGCACTCAAAGAGCATTTGAGCAAAGGTCTGAAGGAGAAAGATTAAGATATAATAAAGGTGTGTTACTCAACAAATGAAAAATGAGGTTATTTGTTGAGGGAGTTTTGATGCCTGTGATATTAGCCTAAAATGTATATTTTGTCGTGGTTTCTATTTTCATGCTAAATAAATATTCACATTGTATCTGATTGTATTTCATAATGTAAGCTATTTTTTTAATTTGAAAATTATTCCTAAAACTGATAGCTTCTGTCCCAAGGTCAGGATCTGCTCACGCTGACGAGACCTTGTGTGTGTGGAGAAGTGAGGGCCACACTGCCCGCAGACTGGCTGGCACTTAGGAGGGGTCTCTGGAGGGAAATGGGGGCCACCAAGAAGACAAAGGGAAAAACTCCTGCCTCATGAAAAGACAACAGGCAATAAATCCAGGCAAGGAGAAAAGAATCCAAAGAAACAGGTGAAAGTAGTGAATCTGGAGTTGGCCCTTAAGAAAACCCAGTCTGCAGGTGCTAAGGCTGGGAACAGAACGTTTGCAAGCGCAGTGGAATAGGCCCTGGAAAGAGGTCAGGGGAGGGGCTGCCTGTTCAAGCAGCTGTGGTCCCTGCTAGAAGCTGACACACACTCTTTGCAGAACTTGATGTAGGCCAGCCAGAGAACACTGTGCTAGGAGCAAAGTGGGACAGGTTAGGACATGGGGTCCATCGCAGTTGGACCCCGCTTCCCCTTAGGGCCTGAGCTCCATTCCTCTAAGTGAGGAAGACAGCCTGGCTGGGGAGTCTCCATCCTCCACTGTCCCTGTTAGCCCAACAGGAAGTGAAAGGAAGGTGGAGCAATGAGGCAGAGGCTCCTGAACTCATGTGCTGTGCTGTCTCTTTGGTTTCCCGCTTGGATTTGCTTGCACTATTCCCTTTCTGGAGATAAAGCTGCACAAGCCACAGGGAGGTCAGAAGCATAAGCGGGTCCTGTTGTGTCTTCGAGCCCGGCTCCAAAGGGACTCGTCCCTGGGGACACCACCATTCACTGCTGTGGGGCGAACAGGAAAGAAAGGGGGCAGGAGGGCCAGATGTGCAAACAGGGCTGCCTTCTGAGGAAACATCCGCACTGTCCTTTGGAACCTGTGGCTAAACCTGAAGGGTGGGTCTGCTCTCTGGCGCCCTCTGCTGTACCTGAGCGGATCAGATACTGCATTGCCATGCGAGGAGGCAAGAGTGGAAATTGAATTGTGGGCAACGCACACCTTGGCTAATTTGCATTTGGATATCTGAGATACAGGTGCCCACAGCTCATGTTGCAAAAGATGAGCAGAATGGGAACAACACTGAAGATGACTGAGTCATCAGCAGTCATCCAGAGCCTTTGCCACTGCCATGTCCTGGGGAACCTAGGGTGTACCTGTCAGAAGATATATCAGTGCTTAGCCAGCCGAACTACTTGGTTTACTTGCCAAGAAATCTTGGAAAATACACACAGTCAGAAAGGTCAAGGGTGAGCTGGCCAAGGGCGTGCAGGGAAGAAGAGCCGCAGGCTATTTGGGGAAATCGTCCTGCCCTTCTACGTTACCCATATGTGTTTCAAGCAAGTAAGAGCTTAGGAGCTGCTCCAATATTGTATTGGAGATTAAAAGTGGATTGATTCAGGGGAAAAGGGAATGAGAAAAGAGCACCATGGTATTCTGGGAAGAGCGCGGGAGAAAGGGGCAAAGCTTCAAGTGCTGAGAAAGATGGTGGTATGAAGATGGAAACTGGAGAACCAATCAGTGCTTTCCTGACGTCACCCAATAGTCAGAATATATTTACTGACATCCACGCCCACAAGGGAGGCCCTTTTCAGAGAAGTGAACATGCAGAGCTTTACACTCTAGGCACAGTCAATAAAAGAAACAGGGATACATCACAGTGAAATTTTTCAATTACAAGAATAAATTTTAAAATCCTGCCAGTGCCAAACTTTCCTCCAGAGCTCTTCCTTGAAAAGCTGCCCCAAGGCAAGACCCGCACAGCGTCCTTATACCAGGCTGGGGCGGGGAAGGAGTGGGTACGCTGGGCACAGGGAGCAACTGAGCTGCCTGAGATATGCCAGCCCATCCACGAGCTGATGGCGGAAGCTCCAGTGAGCTGAACAGACAAGCGGGCTCGCCCCTTGCCCGCTCCCTGCAGTGTCAAGCCCTGGGTGTGGCTGGTCACTGAACAGGGCCACAGCCTTGGCCTAGGCAGTGGCTTACACCTCAGGTACTTCCAAGAGGGACCAAGTGGGGGAAGAGCAGGAGTCCTGAAGACCTAGGGGTGGCCTCGTAACTCCACTGCGTTTTTTTTTTTTTGACCTGAAGGCGTTCCCCAGTCTACTAAAGGCTGAATGTGATAATATAAGAACAGCAAAGAGTTTTGTCAATTCATTCTTAACCCAAACCCTGCCTGGTTATAATTTCAAAGAAGCCATGGGCAAAGCCATGGGTTTCATTTCTCTGTCTCCTCCTTGCTCCCACCAATGCCTTCCATGGCCCAGCGGGATCTACTCCAGGTTATGACCAGTGCCTGTGAGTTGGTACATTTGCTCTCTGTTTTCTTTCTTTCTTTCTCTTTTTTTGTCACAATGGCTGATTTATGTGCAAGGTTAGAAAGTGGCCCTGGAAAATTAGCAAAACTAGACTTCTAGTGTCTTACAGAAGTGCAAAGTTAGATGCAGCAAAATCATGATTAATTTCTTGAGCAGGAATTTACTGATTTTTTTTTTTTTTTGCATTTTTAAAAGACTCAGGCTGAGGATGTAGCTCAGTGGTTGAGCCATCACCTAGCATTCATGGAGCTGTGGGTACAACCCCCAGAAAAAAAAAGAAATAAAAGACTTGAGAATGGTGTAATTCCATTTTCATAAGTAAGATTACAGTGGACAGTGTCATCTCAAAGGGCTGTGAGGGAAAGCGTCCAAGAGTCTCACCTTGCATTTCTCACTCCTCCAACAGACCCATAAGATTATTTCAGTCATTCAGGTTGATTCCATTCGTTTCTTCATCAGGAAAGACTGCAGAGCTGTGCAGCCATGGACACTGCTTTCCAAGAAGCCCTGATTTATAACAGCTCTACCTAGGGCTGTGGGTGCTTCTCTGCTAACTAAGCAGAAAACTTGGCCTGTGCAAAGAATTCTCAATTGCAAGTAAAAGCCGGGGGGGGGGGGTT